TATATATATATACACATACATATGTATATATTTATATATATATATATACACATACATATGTATATATTTATATATATATATACACATACATATGTATATATTTATAGATGTATGTGTAAACACAAGACAATACGTATATACTGTCTCGTGCGTAATCGTGTGTGAATGTGTCTAGTGTATGTGTATGCGCGTGTCGATGATATCGCCTAAATCGTACAGTATTTAATACTTTAACAAAGGATACGTAACTGCTTCAGCGCCCTGAGTCGAAATCAAAAATACACCTTAAAGAGTACGGAAATGAAACGTGGAGAGCGACACGGACGCGCCAGTTTAGGTTTACGTCATGTACATATACATTTATTTATATATATATATATTTATATATATATATATATACATATATGTATACATATATATATATATATGTATATACTTTTTAGATATTTATATCTTCAACGTTGTATCTTCTCGCGCGATTTCGATACATTATACACGTATACAGCCACGCGTGTACACGGTGCACGTAAATTTTACAATAATATGGATACATGCATCAGCCAACTATTTATATATATAATTCCCGCGACGTATGTACGTTTAGAATCATGACGAACCAATCAACGCGCTCTCCTCGTGCAGAGATGCTTCCTTTACTCGACACCTTCCAGTATGTATAAAGCTTGTGGAACTACTAATTAAACCTCCTACATCAGCTACGAAAAAAAATCATTCTCTCTCTCGCACACGTATTCTCTGTCATTCGTTCTTCTTCTCTATCATACGCGCATATTTTCCTGTTGCAATCGGTGCCTCCCCCACCCTGGGAATTACTGGAAAACGCTACAATGTCGATGCAGTACTATCACAGTCAACTCTTACGGAATAGACGCATCCACGCGCATGGAATTCTAAACGCAATACGTTTCTGTTAACTCATTCTCTAAGCACTCTCCTCCTCCTCCTCCTCCTCCTCCTCCTCCTCTCTCTCTCTCTCTCTCTCCCTGAATCTTGCCACAGTCGCTTCGCAGAATAGTGTTATTCTGTGACTACGCCTATCTCCTTAAGGCAACCGGCCTTAAACCCACATAAGCGAGGGTATGCGCGATATTATGCTCGTTCACCAGTAGAAATGTAACGATCCAGTTCCTGAAGAACGATCCAGTAGCTTCGCGGGTACGGGTCCTTGCGGATTACGTAGAATAACGAGAGCAAGCAGGTCACATTTTCTAGGCATATTACACGGTATTTACAGAGTTGGAGGTTCGTCCGCTCGGTTCCAATACGAACTCCTGAAAAACAAATGGGCGTTCATTAGTATTACATTAATATTAGTATTAGACGTTAATTATCATATGGGTTAGGTTTGGATTAGGTCTGGGTTGGGAACTGAAGTTTGGAATATTTTTCATGGGGGTGGAATCTTAATCCTTCGACTTGTTCTTAATGCACAAGTGCACATACCTTTTGTTTGTGTTTATGCACTTATGATGTATGCAGAATAATACATTCGATATAC